TTGTAGGAAAATGGTCTGTGGTCAACAATTGAAAAGAATTTTTTAAGGGGGCTTTGAACCCTTTAAAATGGAAAAAAATACTTTGTGGCAAACAAATTTGGAACTCAATTTATAAAACATCTGAAATTTTGGCTGTTGCATGCAAGGGGCACGTGGTATGATGACACATTTCTAGATTTTTTATATATTAAAGGCCAAGTGGCATGTTGATTATAATGTTGAAGACACTAATGATTTTTCACCTCCCCTGTCATTTCTTCCCCCACGGAGAGTGCTCTGTGGTGTCAAGTCTGTGAGGTTTTTGTGGTCATCCTACTTTACAGGGCTTCTTTATTAAGGAAGTTTGGGGAGTAATTTTTGCTCCTTTTGATTTTGGTTTTATATTTCCAAAAATGAATGCTTTTTCCCTTCTTTACCTATATCATGTGACTTAAAGTGGTCGGAGATTTTAAAAGTCTCTGTTTGTTTGTTTGATTGGGTTTTATGTCCCACCTCAAGTTTTGGTCATTATGGGACGTTCCAGCGTTTACTGGTTTGGAGGGAAGATCTAGGTGCCCCCGTGCATAATTTCAGAGGCACGAAGTGGCCACCTGAGTAGAAACCACCGATGTTCCGTAATCTAGGCCTGGAAATAGCTTCCCTCACATGCTAAAGAATCAAAAAGTCCTTCAGGATTCTAACCCACAGCGGGTAGGGGTAAAAGTGGGTTTGGAAAGTCAAACAAACCTAAACCACTCTGGGTTCTGATGCCCCTTGGGCAATCATCTTGACTCCAAATTTTTTGGAAACCTGAAAAGCCCTGAGGGTCCGTGTTAAATGGTAATAATTTTGAGAAACATTTTTTCTACTATCAATATACAATACCGTATATTAATGTTTTTAAATCCATTTTGAGTACACTTCGCTATATATTCTGTCTTCATAATGGACCTTGGAGTGCTTAGGAGGACATACCTTTGAAAGAGAAAACCAATTAAACAGAAAATCCATCCAACACTTTATAATTGTCATTCTGGTTTCTTTTTTATTCAAGTTATAGTTTTGTAGTTTTCAAGTTTCAAAGATGACAAGGTGTAAAAGGAAACAAATTTAAATAATTTCAATTTACTTTGCTAATTTTTACCACCTCTTCATGATCAATCACCACATGTCAGTTGTAAAAATAAAAAAAAGGGCGAATTTCCCCCCCTCACTTTAAAAGACAAATGCAGTTATTTAAAAAAAAAACAAGGCCTTTGTGCCAAGTAATGTTACTCTGCATCTTCTTCAAATGTTCCTCGATCAGCGCCAGTTTATTCTTTTCTACGACATGATTTTTCCAAAACATTCAACCAATGATATTCTTTGAATAAAAATATTTACTTTTAATTGACAACAAAATTGTACCTCTCAACTTGTTCAACAATTTTTTTTTAAATGTATGTTATAGTTACCTCCCTTTGGTTTCGGGGTTTATTCTAGTTAAAAAATGGCCCAACTTAAAAATTTTTACCCCTTTTTGAAAAAGGGGTTAATTGATTTTCCCAGTTGGAGGATTTCAGGCATATGTTTTTTACCAAATTTGTTTATCCTGAAACCTAAAAAGGGCAAAATCCAACAATCAGGCATCCTAGAATAGACATTGATCACAACTTTGTAAGAGTGAAAAGTGGTTACATGCTGAAACTGTTGTTGCAAGTCAAAAATTAATGTAAATCATAAAAGATGAAGTTTTATAACTCGCTTTGGATTTACTTCTGTATTTCAGTTCCAGTACAGAAGGTGAATGTTGAAATGTCTGTAGAAGATAAAGTAGATCATGATGATGAAACAGAGAAAGATCCACTGTGTGAATGTGAAGATGATTCTCATGTACAACACTTACCTGATACATTAGGTGTTTATTAAACATAACAGGTATTGAGGACTATTCTCACTCGAAGACTTTCCAAAACTGCGAGTCAACTCGATTGGTACCTGATGAACAGATGATGCCCTTGGTAAAAAACATATATTTTTAAATACTAAATTAATTTGTTTGCTATAATTTCCAAATTTCAGAAGAAAATTTGCAGGTAACTTTGATTACTGCAGGGCTTCATTGCCAGCTACTTTTCCCCATAACCAAATAAATAAAAAAGAATTGCTTTAAAATGTTTCAGGAGTGTTTAAATAGCTATTTAAATTTTTTGAATCTGTTTAAAAAAATCTGTATGGAAAACAGGCAGTCTATTTCATATCTTCCTGTTTTAAATGAAACTGTGAACGTTTACCCTTTATATGTACATGCATATAAAAATTACATGTATATCGCACGGAAAATAAACAAATGTGTATTTGGTTTATACAGAATTTATTTTAGTTCGATTGTGTAGGAAGCTATAAGCTTATAGACACACTTTCGAATCCGTTCCTGGAACCAACCAGTACTGAGCAATGTGTGTAAAGTTTCTTGCTCAATGAAACAACAACTTGCCCCTGACGGGGTTTGAACCCATGCGGCTAGCGATCATTAGATTACTAGTCTGACGTGTTAACCACTCGGCCATGCCGCCACACAATGTGTATTTGAAATCACTATGATGATATTTAATGAAGTGCTAGTTGCTCAATAAAATTTATTTAAGCATTTGCTTTATATCAACACAACATTTTTATATTATTTTTTTTAGGTTCAACAGTTTCTGACGCTAACTTTTAAATGCAATTAAATAAGAAGAAAAATTCTTTAATTTCAATAATATTATCCAAATTCTATCAATTTACATCAGTTTTAATGATGAATATTACTATCATAAATGTAATGGTGATAACAAACGTATATGGGATATTGTAAATCTGACAAAACATATATGGGTAATTGTAAATCAAACAAAACATATAGGGGATATTGTAAATCAAACAAAACATATAGGGGATATTGTAAATCAAACAAAACATATAGGGGATATTGTAAATCAAACAAAACATATAGGGGATATTGTAAATCAAACAAAAAATATAGGGGATATTGTAAATCAAACAAGACATATAGGGGAAATTGTTAATCAAACAAAACATATAGGGGATATTGTAAATCTAACAAAACATATATGGGTAATTGTAAATCAAACAAAACATATAGGGGATATTGTAAATCAAACAAAACATATAGGGGATATTGTAAATCAAACAAAACATATAGGGGATATTGTAAATCAAACAAAACATACAGGGGATATTGTAAATCAAACAAAACATATAGGGGATATTGTAAATCAAACAAAACATATATGGGATATTGTAAATCAAACAAAACATATAGGGGAAATTGTAAATCAAACAAAACATATAGGGGATATTGTAAATCTAACAAAACATATATGGGTAATTGTAAATCAAACAAAACATATAGGGGATATTGTAAATCAAACAAAACATATAGGGGATATTGTAAATCAAACAAAACATATAGGGGATATTGTAAATCAAACAAGACATATAGGGGATATTGTTAATCAAACAAAACATATAGGGGATATTGTAAATCAAACAAAAAATATAGGGGATATTGTAAATCAAACAAGACATATAGGGGAAATTGTAAATCAAACAGAACTTTTAGGGAATGTTGTAAATCAAACAAAACGACATACAGGGATATTGTAAATAAGAAACAAATATACGTTTGAGGTAACTTAATTATCAATTAGCTAGCTTTTTATCATCTACTGCATTCATATCAGGGTCTTTCATAGCTTTAATTTACCGTATAATCAATGCGCTATTTTTAGCGATGTGGATTTCCAAGTGTGAATTCCAAATGTCGCTATGGCCACGCTTCAGAGCGTGTGCTAATTACGTCAGATTACACAATTAAATCTGCCTCCAGGTGGAGAAATATACATGTCAGACATTTCATAGAGATTTTAGGGTGACTAGAATTTCGCTTTTCTGATCATATAGGGCGAAGTGAGAATATTTACTGTGAAGTTTTCGCCCTGAACGCAGTCCCTGTATTATAAACAATGGGAGTTGTCCTGGGTGTTTGTGTTATAACATGTCTGGCTAGTTAAATACAACAGTGCTCTCTAGGCTGAGATGTCATAATTCTTACCAGTGGTGGTATTCTCATAAAAAAAATTTGTCAGTTGCTAGCTGTTAAACTCCGGGTTCTTCCAGGGATTAAAGTACATATAAAGACATTACTTAAGGATTGTTACAAAAAGTATTAAAACAACAAAATTTCATAGTTTATTCAGCAGTGTCATCTTTTAATACCCTATAATATTCCAAGTAATTTCAACTATTGTGTTTTTTGTTTCATAATTTCAAGAATAATGGCACTTTCACGAATCATAAAAGGCCCTGGCCCCTTCAAAATTAAAGGAAGAAAGCCTTGGCTATTTCTAAAAGTATCGATGAAATGTTACATTCAGAATTTTGTGAATATCCACCATTTATATATTGTATTATTATTGTATATTATAAGAAGTTCTATATTTGCTATATCAGAAAGCCTTCTATCTGTTGGCTCTAATTGGAAGGTTGGTGGTTCTTATAAGCTACATGTTTTTGCTTGAATAAAACACTGAACAATTACCAATGAATATATAGAGTGTAATACATATATGAGCCGCATCACGACAAAACCAACATAGTGCGTTTGAGACAAGCATGGATGTAGACCAGCCTGCGCATCCATGCAGTCTGATCAGGATCCATGCTGTCCGCTTACCAACTCTATTACAAGTAGAGAAACTGATAGCGAACAGCATGGATCCTGATCAGACTGTGCGGACGCGCAGGCTGGTCTGGATCCATGCTGGTCGCAAACGCACTATGTTGGTTTTGTCATGATGTGGCTCATATAAGTTTCTATGTTCGTGTTATCTGTATGTATATACATGTAGTGACAGATTTTTTTTGTCTATTTTAGATATGACAGATAAGGTCAGACTGAAGAAGAAAAAACCAAAAGCAGCTCAGCCAAAAGAGTTGTTCCCAGTGAAAAATGCCGGAAATACTAAAGAGAATACTCGCTCCCCATTATCAACACGTACCATCGATATGAACTCTCCAGCTAAACTTGTACAGAGAAAGCAAATCAAAGACTTGGATAAGAAAATGACCTGTTCACAGGAGAACTCGTTGTCAAGGTTTATTGTTAGAGATAAAGAGAACATGTGACTTTATGTGTGACATTTTCACCTAGATCTGTGTTCATTCTGTTTCTCTTATCTTCTACACCTATATTTCTATATCTGTTCCATGTTGTGATCTTATTATCAGTGATAGGTGGTGACTTATATTAAAGAAATAATTTAAAACTATTTGATAAGATTGTTTGTATATCTGTGGGTTATTTTGCACATTTTAACTGGTACCATGACTTTTGAGAATTTTTTTCACTTGAATGTTGTATCACCAAGTACAATTGTGTATGAAATTTCTGATACAGTTTTATGTATACCTAACAATATAAAATTATCACATAGACCATAGTGTGAGTGTGTAATAAACCCATTTGATAAAAAACAATATTTAACCCATTTAATAAAAACAATATTAAACCCATTTAATAAAAAACAATATTACACTAGTGAAATAACACTGACATGCTATCATTTGCATTATATACAAAGATCGCATTTAAATTAAATGCACTGATATATGCGTTACACTATAAACCATTCTTATCTTAGAGTATGTGATAAATATAATATTATATTTGTGTAGATTCAATAATAAATTTATTGAACTGGTTGAGAAAACCAATATCATGCTTGCCAGAGGCTTGCATGATAATAATATGATTTTGTTCAACTCATCCAATAAATTTAGTATTAAATCTTTATTAATTCAATATCCTCACATCTTACTGAGAGTACTAGATTTTATTGTCTACCAGAAGTAAATGTTGTGAACAGAGGCATTAGCCGAAGTGGACATTATTTTGTGTGAACATTTTGTTCTATCACCCTCAGTAAATTGTGACAAATATTTTAATGTAACAAACAAATCAATATTTAAAGTAGACATAACTACAACCCTTACCCTGTATCCACCTGAGGGCAGTTTAGCAATGTGAGTAAACCTCCAAGTGATGTTGCCATGTGACATAATGATATAGCATATAAGGCTCTATATAGTAAATAAATCTTGTGAGATATAAAAGTATTATTTTTTCCTGAGATAACATAAAAATTTTTCTGGTATTTTAAATTGATACACATGACACACATCACACGGCCACTATATTTTCAATGTTTTTAAACTTTATATTCACAGGGGGATTAATTTTTATTTCTTTTAAATTTTAACCCCTTAAAACCCCAATGAAATTTTTTTATTAAGGGGCAAAGTACAACCAAAATGAACAGTGGTTTTCTTTAATATTTTAAAATTTTGATTTTAAAACAAATTTCCCATTTTTAAAGGGGGAATTTTTCCTTTTTTAATCAAGTTTCTGAAAAAAAAAAAAGGGTTTTAGATTTAAAGTCCAATTTTTTTAGGCAGGAATTTTCGAAAATTTAAAAACCAAAACTTTCTTTGAACTAAACAAGTCCCGGAGCAATCACAGTGCTTTGTACTAATAGAGACCCAGGTTTTGATAGAAAGAATAAGAACAAAAAACAAAACACTATCTCTCAACTGAATTCAACAAATTGTTCATAGCAATATCACCAAGTGCCCTAGAGCACATCATCAGTGCTTAGTGGTTTAATTTTTTGTGCAAAATAATGACCTTTGGTAGTTTGTTTCCATTATGTAAGTAATATATGAATACTCTACTGTGCATAGGGCACGTGATATTTCTGAGAGGTTTAACCTATAATCGTTGGTGGAATTTCTGGTTTGTGACAATTTCTTGTAATTTGTTTTTCCTGTGACATAATGAACTCTTACTTTTGATGTGATGTTTGTATGTAGAATTTCTCTTATTTTGTTCTAATTTAACAAAAAGTGTGCAAATAGTTGTGTGTTTGCTGTGACATATACAGAGATCTGCCGAGAATTTGAAAGTACTTGGCCCTGGACCCACTTGGTCTGAAAATGATGGGCCATTTTGACCAAAGTATGGGTCTTGGGAAAATAAGTAAACATTGACCTAAATGCGCCCTTTGCTGCCGATTTTTCTGCGCCATTCTCATTTTTGTAGCGCCAATGGCTCAAAATCGCGTCCTCGGCAAGATCTCTGCATATATTTTTTATTTAAATTCTTATTCATGTATAATGTATGATATTAAACAGTTATGGTGTTGTTTATAAAAAATTTCATTTGAGAAAAGTTGATAGGTTTCTATTTATAGAAATTGAAGTAACTATAAACATGCCATATTATTTTCATTATCTAGACTTGTTTCGTGATAGTATAATTAGAAACAACAACTTGTGACAGTTCTTGAAGATGTGGTATCATTTATATATACATGTATCTATATATTAAAAAAGCTATTTCATATTGTAATGACAATAATCAGGTTTTGTACTCCAGTTAAAATGAATAAATCTTTGTTTTTCATGATACAAGTATATATTTTGTAAATAGTGTATACAGTGTTTAAAAAGGAAATAAAAAATCCAACATTATGAAAGGTTTTTGTTGAAACTAAAAATATTTTGACCAAAGCATATTTGGTTGAAACAATACTTAAATAGACTTCTTTTAATATAGGAAAATATCCAGCTTGTGTCTGTACTTGTTGTGGTTTTAATTTAGCTACAGTATTTGTTGTAGTAATGATCATCTGCCACCAAATATCTACTGTGAATGACATCTAAAGTTTTGCCACAAATACTCAAAGTTATTATACACCCCCCCTCCCCCCCCCTGAAACGAAGTGGGGGGGGGGGGGGGGGTATATGAGTCACATTGTCCGGAGCATAACTTGAAGACTTCTGGTTGGAATTCAAGACAACTTCATACAATGATCAAGAACAATAAAAGAAAGTGCAGTGTGCAAGAACCATAACTATATCTAAATTAATTACAGAGTTATTGCCCTTTGTTTCTTTTCTGTTGCTTTTTTCTGTCCGAGCATAACTTGAAGACTAAAGGTTGGAATTCAATACAACTTCATACAATGATCAAGCACATTGAGAGGAAGTACATTGCACAAGAACCATAACTCCATTTTTACTAATTACAGAGTTATTGCTCTTTGTTACTTTTCCTTGTCCGGAGCATAACTTGAAATCTACTGGTTGGAATTCAAAACAACTTCATACAATGGTCAAGCACAATAAGAATAAGCAGTGCAGTGCATAAGAACCATAACTAAAGTAATTACAGAGTTATTGCCCTTTGTTACTTTTCTATTGCTTTTTTTGTCTGGACTAATTGTTAGAATTCAATACAACTTCATACAATTATCAAGCACGTTGAGAGGAATTGCAGTGCTTAATAATCATAACTCCATTTTGACTAATTACAGAGTTATTGCCCTTTGTTACTTTTCCTTGTCCGGAGCATAACTTAAAAACTACTTGTTGGAATTCAATACAACTTAATACAATGGTCATGCACATTTAGAGGATGTGCAGTGCACAAGAACCATAACTCCATTTTGACAAATTACAGAGTTAAATTGTTCTTCCATACTTTTCCTTGTCCGGAGCATAACTTGAAAAGTACTGGTTGGAATTCAATACAACTTCATACAATGGTCAAGCACAATAAGAGGAAGTGCAGTGCACAAGAACCATAACTTTATTTGGACTATTTACATCATAGTTATTGCCCTTTGTTATTTTTTTGTCCAGTGCATAACTTGAAAACTAGTTGGAATTCAATACAACTTCATACAATGGTCTACTCTCCTGCGCATCGGTCGAATGTTCCACTATCGCTCACTTAAGTAACGGGAGTGTATTCAGAAAGCTGCGAAGGGAGCGTAACAATGGTCAAGCGCAATGAGAGGAAGTGCACTTGCTCAAGAAGCGTAACTCTTTCTGGACTTATTACAGAGTAATTCAATAAAACGTCATCAATGGTCAACCACAGTGAAAAGGAAATGCAACATACAAGAGCAACAACTATCTTTTATGCCCACAGCCCTAACTGTATTTCAATTCTTTTACAAGGTATTCTGTTACTAGTAACTTCCTTATTTCCGAAGCAGTCTTGCGGGGGTATTAATCACATTTAGTGGTAGTTCTAGTTGATCTTAATGGCAAACTTCTAATTAAAGCCTGTGGTTCAGCAATTAATTTTCATTATAATATTTGTGAACACTTGTTATATTGTTTAAAACCACATTTTTTCTTCTGCCAAGCCCTTATAACATGGTAAGATGGTGTTTGAAGTATGTCGGTGCATGCTAGAGTTATGTTACCATTTGGTGCATGATGTGTCCAGTGTCTAATACTAATGAATTACTCAGTGTATTGAACTTTCGTCTTCCTTATTTGTGTGATAGATGTGTATATCAATAATGAAAAATAAGATGATACTGATTGTCCAGCTCTAGAGTACAATTTGACACACACATTTGAAGGATGGTCTTGTGAAGTTGCTAGTGACAAATTCCATTCAGAAACAAATTGTTAGTAAACCTTTGTTTAGACATTTAAACTGTAGATAATTGAAACGAATACTTATCTAATAAATTAAGATAATACTTTCATGAATGAACAGCCATATTTGCCTATTATAAGTAAGTAAGTAAATTCTTTACTATAGTGACATGTGTTCTTCCATACTTTTCCTTGTCCGGAGCATAACTTGAAAAGTACTGGTTGGAATTCAATACAACTTCATACAATGGTCAAGCACAATAAGAGGAAGTGCAGTGCACAAGAACCATAACTTTATTTGGACTATTTACATCATAGTTATTGCCCTTTGTTATTTTTTTGTCCAGTGCATAACTTGAAAACTAGTTGGAATTCAATACAACTTCATACAATGGTCTACTCTCCTGCGCATCGGTCGAATGTTCCACTATCGCTCACTTAAGTAACGGGAGTGTATTCAGAAAGCTGCGAAGGGAGCGTAACAATGGTCAAGCGCAATGAGAGGAAGTGCACTTGCTCAAGAAGCGTAACTCTTTCTGGACTTATTACAGAGTAATTCAATAAAACGTCATCAATGGTCAACCACAGTGAAAAGGAAATGCAACATACAAGAGCAACAACTATCTTTTATTGCCCACAGCCCTAACTGTATTTCAATTCTTTTACAAGGTATTCTGTTACTAGTAACTTCCTTATTTCCGAAGCAGTCTTGCGGGGGTATTAATCACATTTAGTGGTAGTTCTAGTTGATCTTAATGGCAAACTTCTAATTAAAGCCTGTGGTTCAGCAATTAATTTTCATTATAATATTTGTGAACACTTGTTATATTGTTTAAAACCACATTTTTTCTTCTGCCAAGCCCTTATAACATGGTAAGATGGTGCTTGAAGTATGTCGGTGCATGCTAGAGTTATGTTACCATTTGGTGCATGATGTGTCCAGTGTCTAATACTAATGAATTACTCAGTGTATTGAACTTTCGTCTTCCTTATTTGTGTGATAGATGTGTATATCAATAATGAAAAATAAGATGATACTGATTGTCCAGCTCTAGAGTACAATTTGACACACACATTTGAAGGATGGTCTTGTGAAGTTGCTAGTGACAAATTCCATTCAGAAACAAATTGTTAGTAAACCTTTGTTTAGACATTTAAACTGTAGATAATTGAAACGAATACTTATCTAATAAATTAAGATAATACTTTCATGAATGAACAGCCATATTTGCCTATTATAAGTAAGTAAGTAAATTCTTTACTATAGTGACATGTGTTATACTTATACGTATATACATACACAAAAATACACAACTTAATTTAGATAAACACACCGGCCCATTGGACCTGTAAGTCACCTTAAAATATATTATATAAAATTATAAATAGCTCAAGTAAATTGCTGTCTGTGTTTAATGCCTACCAAAATTGAAGTGTGTGGATGCTGGGTGATGCAATAATTATTTTACTGTATATATTGATGTTGAAACCTCTTATTTTTCCTCTGGATTGTGGCATATTTGATTCTTTGGTAATCAAGCTCCTTAATATCAATTTCTGATTCTTAGTATTTGTTTACTTTTATTTAAAGAAACGTTAATCTCTAGAAGTACATAATATTATGGATGTTGATATTTTGAAAAATTCGTATTTTTATTAATAACTTTGGAGAGCATTTAGTGGTGCTCAACCTCCAGTTTTAGGATCAAATACTCTGAGAGAAATGTGTATATTCACCGTTTTGTATTTCAGACGACGCAAGTGACAGATCGTAATCAGGTATTTATCCATTAAGTACAGTTATAAATCAGTATTTATTAAAAGAAACAAACAAGCATATTAATTTATTATTTATTTCTGTCTCGAATAAACAACAGTTACGAGTTTGAATTAATGATAATGATAAAACATTATTTCATAGGTTATCGTACAGAGTAACTTCCCTTTACCCGCCATCAGTCATTACAAGATAATGGAAAAGGTGACCGCTTTAAGACCTACAGCATTATTTGGGACGCCACCAGAGCCATTATTCAACAATCAACTTTGTGGTGCAACAACAGAAATGCTTGAAGACTGGATGGTTCTACTTGCTGATAAAAACTCGGAGGCATTGGAGAATGCTAAGGCAGTTCAGGTGATATTTATGAAATAAAAATCTGATAGGATATCTAATTTCTACTGCATTTCTAACTAATATGAAATTAGGCAAAGCCTATGCACGGGGAAGTCGTTAAAAAATCCTTTCATTCTTTCCGTTTTAAAGGTATCATTCGGTATTACATGCACCGCTTCCGTTTTCACTTGGAACACTCGACGTTTATTATTTATCCGAAAAGTTGAGATTTGTTCCGTTATCGGAATACCCCGCCTATTATCATTGAGTTACATTGTAAATGGCGGCGCCCGACTAGAACTGACACTGAAAATTTCAAAGATAGGTATAGAATTCTATATATTTTTTAATTGTTTTTTATTTGATTTTCTTTTAAATATACACGTGTAGTCTATAGCCGGGCAAGCCAACGCCCGGACCCGCTTCGCGGGCCCGGTCTTTGTCTTCCCCGTATAATTCAGTCAGGGTATGCTTAACATTTCTTTGATGAGTTAGTATAATGATATTGTTCTGCCTTGACTAGGGAACAGTCTTTGTTTATTGACATCAAAATGCATATTTCAGCAGCCAACTTAATCACTTAAATGTAGGTTCCAATAAGGACTTAGGTCAGCGACATGTTAATACTAAGATCACCAAATCATATGATATCCAACCATACTTATAAGAGCTACATTGGTAGATAGATTGTTACTATGTTATTGTTAAAAATAGTATCCATTTCTCATTACCAAGTCTAGGCTTTGCAGACAGATTGAATGATAAACCTTTAGCAACACATGGGATATTTACAGGGGTGCTGTTCTTTTATCAGTCACATACTATTTTTTAAGTGAACTCTTTAAGTTTTTTAACAACAGCAAGCTTTTTGAAACCTCCAGCATGCCGGAAATTTATTTACTGTGTGCAAGAGATAGTTATTTATTAACTCTTACCGTGCTAGTGGCGGGCCGATCCGCCGTCAGCACTTAAGTATTGTCTCGCGAATGGCGGAAAAATCCGCCCTGTGGGGTACCTCTTTACAATATTTTCTATTCTTAGTATAGTGGTTTTCCAATACACATGCGCAGTACGACTACTACCAGAAGGCTTAGATAAAATGGCAGCCTCCATGAAATAAGTTTATTGTCACGTTTTGAGGCATTTTTGAACGATTTTTGGAGTTTGTTTCAATTATGTCGAACAATGAATTTAGAGACATTATTACGAGCGATAGTGATGACGAGGAATTCGAGGGATTTGACCCTATAGACGTAATAAATGCAGAATATGACGAAATAAATGATTTAGAAAACGTTGAGTTAGGGGATGAAGATCTTCGAGACATTTTAAATGAAATTGATCGTGAAGAAAGGGATGTGTCAGGGCTCGAATTTAACACTCGCAAACTCGCAAAATGCTAGTTGAAAAATGATTTTGCGAGTTAGATTCATGACTACTCGCAATTTTTTGCGAGTTGAAGAAAAAATGGAATACGCTTGTCAGGAAAATCCGAAATATAAATGGGGCGTAATATTCGCAGGAAGCCGAGTTATAAACCATGCGCGCACTTGCTGTCTGGTTTACATTTTCTATACCTTAACCTCGCTTAAAAAAGTACACAAATTTAAACCAGTCCAAATGTCATTTTGTCCGTGTAAATCAAGCGTGATCGGAATAAAATGTCTAAACGAAAAATAACGAACTTCTTCCCACTTATTGAAGCAAATGTGTCTTCCGATAACAATACTCTGAGTACAGAAGATGATTCACAGTCTATCAAAAGAAAGTCAATGAGACCTTCAGTTAAAATGGTTAAAAATTGGGAGAAAGAACTGCACGTCAGTCATGTCAGTCTTACGAACGAACACGATGACGATGGAAATGTTGCCAAAATATTTTGCGCCGATTGTTGTGCGCATAATCCAGACCAGACATCGTCGGTATGACGAAAGTATTGCATTATTATTTTTTTACATGTAGATTGACATTTGATAAGAATCCCTGTCCCCTAAATCAAGTTTTTGAGTAGAAAGTTACGTTGCTGATTCGTACCCCGGGCAGTTCGAACTCGTCCAAATAAATTACAATTTTAAACAATTTTGGAATTAAAAAATCATTGTCGTAAAAAGTGCTAGTTGAATTCAGTTTTTGCTAGTTAAAAATTTGTCCACTAGCAAAAAATTGCTAGTGGCCAAAAAAGTTAAATTCGAGCCCTGTGTGTTCTTCGAGGCATATGATCATGACTGGCTTCGTAATTTCAATGTAGATTCTGGACCAACTAATATTGATGACGAAAGTTCTCCCTACGAAATATTCAGTAAATTTGTGGACAATGAAGTTCTTGAATTGTTGGTTGAACAAACAAATTTATATTATGAACAGTATTTAGTAACAAAAGGGGGAATTGAAAACTTACCTATGTATTCACGGTTTCGATCATGGACACCTGTGGACATGCCCGAGATGAAAGTTTTTCTAGCCATCATATTGTACCAGGGATTAGTGAGACTTCCAAATTATGACATGTATTGGTCTACCAATGATCTAATCAACTTGAAAAGAATAACATCTTATATGACTAGAGACAGATTTTATGCATTTGTGCATGCTTGTGATAATTCTGCCGAGCCTCCACGTGACAGTCCAAACTATGATCCGGGATATAAAATATCACGCCTGTCTTCCATGCTTGTAAACAAATGGAAACAGGCATATAAACCAAAACGTGAGGTTTCTATCGATGAAACTCTTGTGCCATATAAAGGGCGGACTAAATTACTCCAATATATACCTAACAAGCCCCACAAATGGGGTCTGAAAGTTTGGACATTAGCTGATGCAAAATCTGGCTATGTTTGGAATTGGATGTTATATACTGGGAAACACACACATGATCAACAGGCTAGAGGTGCTACCCATCAGATTGTTATGACATTGTGTGACCCACTACTAAATTTGGGACATCATGTATATTGTGACAATTATTTTACCAGCCCAGCCCTGTTTGAGGACTTGGCAGACAATCAAACGGGAGCATGTGGCACACTCCGAGTGAACAGAGTTGGGGTCCCGAGGGAGGTAATATCTAAAAAATGGACTTATATAGCATAATTCTTCTTTATATTTAATTACACAATGAAAAGTCTAAATCTTTTGCAAGATAAGTGGCAAAATGTGATCTATTTACATCTCTGTAAATTTTTAGCCGAAAATTTGCGTCCGAATTCATGTATACTTTGTGTTGAGAATATGCCTCTTATAGGAGAGATTTACCACCACGTCACTGATAACTGCTGTGTGGACTACGTATACACACAATCTTAGAAGGTCGTACAAACATTGGTAGCATTTTCTGTCAAGTTAACATAAGATGATGTTCCTGGGGCAAAGTTTTAAAGATCAGAATTATCTGAACATATTTTTTTTGTAATATTCAAAATGAAGAAAAAAATACAAAACTATTTTCTAAATAGTATTGATATATTTTATATATAAAATAAGTGTGATGTTATAAAGGGTTAAATTTTTGCTAAACATCTACATGTACTTTAATTTTTATGTCTATATCAATCTTGAAACAACTCGCTACATGTGTTCTATGAATTATCATTTTTATGTGAAATATGCCTGCTAATTGCTCAGTTTTGTTTCATTTTCATTTTCCCCTTTTTCACCTTGTCAATGTAAATATGTTTTATGATTCAAGGGTATTATATTTTAGCCATTGTTAAATGTATGCTTAAGACCCAAAACTGAGTGTTGTTAACATAAATATAATTTAAAACTTTATGCTTAGTTCATGTTCAGCTTTAAGTATTAAGCAAGTTAAAGTGACATTATGCTCATATTTTCATAGTCAATTTGAGCTGAATTGACTTTATATTTCAAAAGATTGACTGTTAAAATGGTGTTTGACCAACAGGTGATATTTGAAAATGTTTGGGATAAATTTAATTTATTTAAAAAGTTGACAAAATCCCCAATTAAACATGTTTACAGCAGCCAATATAAAAAAGAAAAGGCAACATAATTACTCAAAATAGTCATGTGTCACATCTGTGGTTGGAAAAAAATCTGGAATCAGGTAGATATGATAATGACCTCCGTGAATTTATTTCAGAATACAAGTACACCTCTAAAACTTTATCATACTTATAAGCTAGGCATTATATATTTGATGTAGTTAACTAATTATAACTTTTTTTAAGGCCACATATTATAACAAATATCTAACAATGTCTTTATAATTGTTCGATCGAATATTTCTTTTGCCGACAGTTTTTATAACTGTTTGAAGATTTCTTTTCCCTACAGTTTTATTTATTTTCAATAAAAAATAAATAAATAGGAAATATGAGATAAGAAAGATTGTTTTGTTTATATAATTTTGTAGTCAGTATCTTTAAAAGTACAATAGAATTGCATCGTTTTATACAATAATTAAACATAATAGCCTATATTTTCCCAGTCACTTTGCAAGCTTAATGTTAATGCTTTACTTTAATTATTTTCAATCACCTGTTTTATTCGCGATGAATTAAGTTTACGATGAATTAAGTGTATGTTATTTTTGCTGATTTAAAAAATGATAACAGTTTCTTGACAATATTTCTAAGCAAGTTTGTTTCACATATAATGTCTTTATTGTAAATAAATAGTTACTCAACATATTGTTAATCTTTTCTTTATTCATGGACCATTTAACTGATATTTTCTTAAATTTATGATAATACAATCATTTTTCTATTCGGGGACTAATGATGCTTTAGCATCAAAAACTCTACTTTATTGAAACAAAGCTCATATTTATTTCTTAATAGACATACACACCATAGTTTTCTTATGTAAATGACTAGGTAGTACAAAGAGGATGTACGACCAGCAACGGTTGCTATGGTCAGTGCTTATCAGCAATTCTATTTTTAGAATATTGGCCACTGGTAAATCTCTCCTATTTACACAACGGAAGTAAAATTTTGTATTTATTTGTCATTTTACAAGCACAGAAAAGTAAAACATTTGATAACCTATAAAACAATGAATTTTATACAAAGAAAATAATATTTCTTGATTTTTTCTGTATTTTCAGGTCAAAACGCAGCCAAGCTGAACAAAGGTGACCCCCCACTAAATCACCGAGATGGTCGTAAACTATATATAACTTGGCATGACAAAAGACTAGTTCATGTCTTGTCAACAGTGCATAATGGATCCACTTTTACCAAACGAGTTAGATCAAGATTTCATGCAGACTATGTTCGGGAAGTTGATCATCCCAAATCCATTCAGCTATATACTCATTTTATGGGTGGGGTAGATCTTGCCGACCAACAAACCCAGTACTGTGTTACTTTACATAAGATGTTAAAATGGTGGAAGAAGCTGTTCTTGTGTAATTTACTTGAAGTGTCAGTTGTTAATGCTAAAATCATTTACAAAGAACTGCCAATCAATGTGAATAAGCGTGTAAAATCTGAAAAATTCCGTCTCGAAATCATCACAGGTTTGTTGGACGGGTATGATGTGCAGACCAGGCCATTCCGCCGCCCAGTATCTAATCCTCCAATGAGACTGGCAGGGAGACATTTTCCTAGGTTGAATCCTAAAATGATTGGTGGTGGTAGAAGGTCTAGTCCAGATTGTGAAGTGTGTAGTAATAGAACAGTCAAACGCCACCAAACCCAGTATTTTTGTGCAGAATGTGAAAAACCTATGTGCGCATACCCATGTTTTGAGCGCTATCACACCTTGAAAGACTATAAAATTAACTGTACTGCTGCTTTGCATAGTTAGACACAAGTTTATAGACATGTTTATGACTGTTTTGAGGTGTTTTAGAATAAAAAACAAAGGAGATATGTCTAGATTCCAAAAATTTGTGGTTTTATTTACAAAAAACTGACATTTTACCCCAAAAATTGTGCATTTGTTAACAGTTTGGTATTTGCTGAAAACTTTAATATATTGGACAGAGTATAATATATTGATAAATATAACAGATTATCATTTAACAAAGCTTTATTTTCAATCTAGTCATGCAAATCAAATGCATATAAAAATCATAAATGTTACAAATAATTACACAGTGTTCTGTTACACAACACATAATTGGTTACTTAGCGTGCTAAGAGTTAATTGTTTCCAGAGTACTGATTTAAAAGAATTCACAAAATTGCCAATGTCTACTAGCTGGAAAAAATTTCTACATGTACTAGTTTTTGCTGTCAGACTTTAAGTGCTTAGTTGGACCACTAGGACTGAAAATCATTTTGATCATAACAGTCTTTTCCTATCATTTTTTTAAAAACAATGTTTGTTTTTTTATATATTAAAAAATGTGTTCAATGAAAGAACAGATTTTTATAGACTGTTTGTTTATTATTTTTATTTTTTTGTTTTTGTTAACAGTTTGTATTGATTAATAATGTGTTCTATATTTTCAGGGTTCCTCTATCATTCAAGAGAGTGTACAATTTTTGTTCTTAACTTGTGATCGGATGAAGATGTCAAGTGAAGTCAAATATCTTAGCCTGGACTTGTTTGATAGGTAAATATATTGATATATTATACCTTTATTATATGTTACATAAATTTGTTCTATGTTAGTGATACCAGGCCTGAAAATTTATAGTGTTTGACAAAAACGAAGTGAATATCTGAGCAGTTGCTATGACTTTTTATCAGACTTTTTAAGATTAAGAGGTGGGTGACTGTTTATACATTTTATGTGGATGTCAAATCAAATAGTAGAATGCTGAAAGCTTTTCAATTTCAGTACTTTAACTTGAATTGTTTTAGTTAATGCTAAAAGTAATTTTCACGTTGTAAAAGCAATTACATATATAGAAAATACATGGTTGATGTCGGGATGTCGAGAAGGTTTATCCTGTAAGAGAAAGTGTATCTTGGCGAGCTTTTAATAATTAAATGGTTTCATTCTTCTTTTTCCCCGATAAAATAGTATCTATATGCAGTTTTGTTTTGCTGCTAAACATGTGACGTCATCATGTGACTTAATGACTGGAGATAGATAAGTTTATCTCACTGATAATATAGACAGTAGCATGATAGAATGTGGTATATTTAATTTAGATAGTGATGGAAATCAGATGGAATTTGTCCCAATTGATCATCGGTTCAGTTGGATGGGACATAATCGATAACTTTTCGAATAAAGTCGCGTTAAAAAGAAGTAACATTTCTTCCCAAGGCACTTGATTATAATCAGAAACATGAATTTCATTTAGCACTTTTCAACACAGTTTTAACCTTATATCGTTATAATTTTACGAAATAGATTTTATTTTTCAATGGATGTCAAATAATAACATTCACATCACATTATATTACTATTGTTTACATCAAATATTGATCCTGTTCAACTACAAATTGTCTCTTGAGATGAATTTTTTGCGATCGGCGAGGTGTTCCTAAAAGAAATTACTGTCGGAATTAATTCCCTTTGATACTTTTAACATTTTCGACGACGTCGCGGAACAAATTTTTTCGAATTGATTATTGTTGTTTTACATAACAGTTACTGATTATCGGCGACTTGCGACAATCGCAACATCACTAGTATTAGAGTGTGATATAAAAAAGAAATAATACACGTCACCTCAGGTTGTGTAGCATAATAATGACCTCCAAACCACTGCCCAAAACAATGTCCATATGTCAGTCTTTGACTGGTCTGTCCTTGTAGTGCCAGGGGGCAGTCAGAGATGTGTACTGTTTCTTAAATGATAACATTTCTGTTTGATCTTCTCTTAAGGGTTTTTATCACCTGTACGAAAATGCCTACCCTGACTACACCCTGATTTGACATGGGATCAGAAATTTATTCCCAGCCAGGTTTTTTAAGCTATTCAGTTGACTATAGAGAAGACAGAAATCTATTTTTAGATTTTTTAGTATACAATACATAGTGTTTTCAGGGTGGATTCAACGAAATATTTAAATGAGCCAGAAAAAATACCACCCTGAAATGGAAATCCAGGGCAGAATTTTCACTCACATAGGTTTCTAAAAATAGATTTACTTCTAGTTAAATTAAGAGCAATTTCAGGGTGGGATTAATTTGAAATATTTAAATGAGCCATAATTCACCCTGATTTCTGTTTAAAAAGTCAGACCAGACTTTTTTCCTCCTGTTATTATCCCGCACCAAAATTTGGCAAATCCCACCCTGAAATTAAAATAAAAATCCACCCAGATTCCTGTTCTTTTTGATATTTGACAAAATAATAATTGAGATTTTTTTTTCACTTATCTGTATTTGATTTTCATACAATTAAATACATTTCAAAAGTCATTTGTGTTTGATATTTCCACTAGGTAGCTGCACACTGTATTACATAATTCCACACTACTGCAGTATTATGAGTATCTGGACTACACAATCTGTAAACATAAGAAAGCAGTGTAGGAATATGCTATAGACAACTTTCAATTTATATATTAATCTAAAAGAAAATGTTACACCTTAATATAGAGAAATATGTCCATACAGTGTAGTTTTAAAGGTATAATATTTCATCAATTGCAATAACAAATTATTGATGAAATCATTTTAAAGAAGCTACAGCATTATAAACATATATGTACTGACTTCATGAAGTCATTAATTCCATAAAATTTACAGGAATGAATACTTTTAATAATTAAAACTGAAACTGATTTTGATAGCAAATGAAAAAATTAAAAATTACCAGTAATATTTCTTCTATTGTATTCTTTTGTTCCAACTACACCATTTTCTTCTTCTCACATGTTACTGAAATATTTGGCTTCAACCTAAATTTTGGGAGTAGGAAAAAAAATGCAATCATGTCATAATTTTTATTACATTTCAAGACTTCAGTTTTTTTTTCTAAAATGGAATGATCAAAATGTATAGTTTATTTAGAAAAATTAAGAATGATTTCATTTTCCCTCCATATTTTAAAACAGGTTTCCTGGAAATTTATTTAAAATCTTTTCAGAATACTGAGCTTACAGAATTCATAATTTTATGAAAAATTAAAAATATTAAGAACTGTAATTCAATTATAACTTACCATTTATCTGTTACAATTGGCTGCTTATTTCCCTCCATTTTTTCAAATTGAATAACAAAGTTTAACACATCTATTATGCTCCATGTTATTTATAAGTTTCACAATAAATTTTCCAAGAAAGTTCTGTATAGCTGGGGTAGTTGAATTCTTAAATCTCATTTTCTATGTAATTATCAAAACTCATTTATGTATTAATATATAATTGTAAGTTGATTTATTTGAATTAAAATCACAAATAAAGCCTCCAATCTTTCTAAAGAAAATGACCATGCTGGAAATAATTTTCAGGGTGTGATATTTTCTCTGGGTTTTAAACTGCTGTCGGTCAATCTGTGGCAACTTCTCTATTTTCATCTGCCAGATAGCCCAGTTTAACATAAAGTATTTTGAAATACTGTAAAAAGTTCCGCTTGAAGGTTATTTGTTTATATAAACTGAAAGCTGACCTTAGAAGTAGGAGATTCTGTGCAGATTGTGAGATGATGGATAACAACTACAAATCTTGAACATTACTTATTGCTGACCAATTTATGCATTAAATAATAAATTGTTTGTCATAAGTTAAATATAAATACAATCAATTACTAGAAACAATTATCAATTTTATAGATAACAATAAATCATGTTGATCTATATAATCTACATAATTTAAAAAAATAATAATAAAAAATAATTCAGTAAATGAAAAGAATTTTTGTTAAATGGAGTTTACCATAAATCAACTGAAACTTTCCAGAAATAGACATTATGATATATTTTCTTCTGAATAAAAAAATCAATTTTATCTGAACAGCAATGTAAACTGTACTATAAGTGTATTACAATATTCATTTCTAATAACTTTAACTAAGAAAAAAAAGGCTGGAAATGAAGAACTTTTAAGACTGTATTGAAACTGGTTCTTGAAAATTTTCTAACTTTGAAATATCTGGGTAGATTTTGCTTATATTTCTCCAAGTCAGTAAAATCTGTGTCAAAATATTTTCAAAGTGCAAATATCCACCCTGACTTTTACCAAAATGATGACAATGTCAGGGTAGAAAAAACTTGAATTCCCATGTGAGATTTCTTGAAAATTCAGGGTCCATGTCTATTTCACCCTGATTTTGCCAATTCTGGTTCAAAACAGGCCTGAATCGGTCCTGTTTTTCATAAAAGCCATGCTGATTTTTCGTACAGGCAAGAAAATTATAATACATGTACTAATGGAGCAAATGTTAGCAGAATATACCAGTATTACATATCAAGTAATTTTGTAGTGAAAATAACCTGATTAGCCACATAAAGGGAGATAAACATAATGTCATATATTTTCAATCAGAAACCAATAATTCACTTGACCCAATAATTTGTCATAAGATCTTTTTTTTTCTATTACCCAATTGATTGTAAATGTGTCAAATTTTCTTGAATCAAATATTATGATAACGTTAAATTGCCTGTTAATATGACATTTACATAATTCGAAGTTAAATTTTAATGCAGTTTCATTGAGATAACTGCAAAGTTGATTGACTTAAGCGAGTTTCCAACTTGAACCTTTGACCTGTTTTGTATTCTTGCAGGTTTATGCTGCAGCATGTACAGGACCTACATGAACATGTAGTAAATACTCACCCTGTGAAAACTCGCATGAAGGAATGGCAGGAGATACAGAAACGAGTCTCAAACCAGGTTGTCTTACGTGTCATTTCCTGTATACAAATTGCCAGTAAACTCACCTCTCACTATAGGGTAAGTTAAGTGTTGAACAACCATTATGAGTTATGTTAAACCATTTAAATCTATAGCTTATATCATGACTAACTGTGTAATGTCACAAGTGTAAACTGAGATCAGTAATTAACCAGGAGTCTATCTATTCAGTTGATGATTCTCTTTTGGTTTTTCAGTCTTGAAGCTTATTGAAATATTACAACAGACACTTCAAGTTCAAAGCATAAGTTCATTATACAAATTTTAAGCATTGTAATGTTAAGATTTTAAAGCACCATTATTCCTCGAATATCTGTATTGTAAATGTGTCTTATTTCTTCTTGATGACATCAGATTTACAAATAAAACATACATTAGGAATTTTTCCTTTAGTAATTTTGGATATCTTATCTTTATTCGATGTTCTCACAGATTTTAAGTCCAAACAAGGCAAGACGTTTCTTATTTGATGCTGGACATCGTTACAACACGGAGAGTATCCTGCAATCAGAGCTACGTATTCTAAAAACTCTTGATTTCTGTGTCTCCAGACCCTCACCACTTGTATATCTAGAGTGTATACTAGAAGCTTTAGGTAACCAAATAAATTGTCATTCTCTTTCATTATCTCTTGTGGTCTCCCTTGCATACATGAGGCGGCAGCTTTGTTCAAGAGTCATGTTTTACTATAGACCATTTTAGAAATGTAAACAGAAGCTAAAATCTTAGTGTGACACTTAGCTTTACAAAAGGGAATTGTATAATGTGTTAGTTAATGTACTAAAGATTGAATTACTAAAATACCTTTAATTAGTATTCTTGTTTCCAATAAAAATGCTTTGATTATCTGTCATTATTTTTCTCCTCAATAATAATGATGTACAAATAAATTATATAGTCACTTCAATATTTTGTAGCTTAACATTAAAATGCATTTTCTTGTCACAGGTAAAACAGAGTGTGAGTTTGAGGTGAAAGTGTTACACGGGGTGACATTAAACCTGTTAGATATGGTGTATCTACAGTATAGTGAGATTTACTCGAGACTTCATCAGATAGCTGCAGGTGGCTCCCCAGTCACACAGAAAGACATGTATGTTATTATATTGACATCTTCATTGTCCTGAATTTAGTTGCTAACTTACGTTACTGATAAATGGAGACTCTATGGGCATATGGTTGCTATTACTGATTTCAAATCACTAATTAATGCCCTCTGTACCCTGTGTGTTAAAGTCCTGGAAGACATGATTATGAATACATTATATAAGAAAGCTATACAGACAGATTACAGAAGTTCAGTAAGTTCTTGCTAATCTACCAAGGTGCACTCTCATGTCTGAAACAAGTTGTACACACAAAATTTTCCTGATCAAATGAAATTAAAAAATCTACAATTGATCTTACTAAATCAAATCAATTTGAGATAATGCTTCCTTGGGTTCAAATTTGTTTAAGTCAATAGTTTGATTTCAAATGACAAATATTTTAATTTAGCATGGACATTTGTAAAATTGTAAGCATTCTCTAGCATGGTTAGATCCATAAAGGAAATATTAGCTAGTCTCTAAAGGTAAAATTACATGCTGTAATATATGCACACCAAAAGCTTTTACAACACTTTCCTTCATTAACTCATTGTATCTACAAGGAATAGCAAAAATGGACTTATTTCTGTTCAGCATTAGGGTTAGGGTTTTGCAGCAGCAGATCTTGAAATTTAGAATTGACATTCATTATATCATCAGAAATTTTTCATACAGGGCAAACAATTCATTATCAGAAAAAAATCATAATACATATCTATGAATAACTATTTTATACAGGGAATGCTTAAAGATATCTATAGATAACCATTTATCATGTTCAGATTCTGTTGATATAACCATTTGAAATGTTCAGGGCATGTTTATATTACCATTGTTATTTGTGCACGGCATGTTTATATAACCATATTAGTTGTTCAGGGAGTTTATATATCCAATATATTCAAGGATGGAATGTTTATATCATTATTGATATTTATTATGCTCATGGGATGTATATATAACCATTTATTTATTCAGGGAATGTTTCGCAAGTGTAAGGGCAGACAAGATGTTACTAATGGTCACCTTGATAACCGCTGCAGCCTACATCATTGACAGAAATTCTCATGAAAAGGTAAAAATTTGTGAGTGTAACATATTTGAATGTTTTGGACAATATAGACAGGTATATACCACCAATATATTCCCTGCTGTGTTTGTACACTTTTGTAAAGTTAGATCAGCCTGTTCTAATACTTTTGCCTGCTTATTTCTTTCACCATATCTCTTCAGTGCTTTTTTTCTTCAGAATTTTGAGGTAAGGAAAATGTTCAATTTGACCAAACTTTAACTGGTCTTTAGCTTGAATACTGTCATACTTCCTGATCTTTTGTTTGCAATAAGGGGAAGAATCATTATTGAACAATCTTCAACCGACTGCCTATTTCATACCGAATATCTGATGAGAGGGTAGATTCTAAATGTTTAAGAATGCTCATGCTAATGTGTCTCTGACAATTTTAAGCTGAGAGCAGGATACTCCTATTAGTGAGCCTGAGCAGTGCTCATTTTCTTTCTTGCATATATATCATTTACATTTATATCATATCTCAAAAAAAAAAAAAAAAAAAAAAAAAAACAATAACAGAAACTTATATTTTCAGTTTCCATTTTTTTTTAATAAATGAAGTCATTTTAAAGCATACAAATGTACAACATATCTTACTTCTGTTCAAACCCAAAACAATCCAGTGTTTCTACAAGAATAAGACTGTCAGATTATAACACTTAGTTATATATTTCAGATAATGGTTAGTGTTAGCAGGATCACTAAAATACCAGCTGAAGATATTTCAGATTTTGCATCTGTTATTCTGAAGACATTGATGGAAAGTAGTGAAGATTAATCACCATGGATACAAGTGACTGTAGGAGTGGTATAGGTGTTTGGCCTTAAAGTGAAAGTGATAGTAGCCAAACTATTGTGTTTATTTTTCAATTCCAGCATCCTTAATATGGAATTACTCATCTGATTCAACAACCATTAAGAAGACTTTATTTATGTACCATCTATATATTCAAATATGACAGTAAATTTTTAAATAATTTCTACTGTAATACATGAGTGTGAAATGTACATTTCATGACAAGTAACATTACCATATAAGTCTTGTTCAAACTAAATGTATGAGATTTTGATTTTATGTATGAAAAACAAAAAAATATTGTGTATTTATAATTCTTTTGTTGGAACGTCGGGGTTTTGTTAATTGTTATTTTTGAGATTTCGTGACCATGTTATATTTTTTTATTTTAGAAAAACTTAATTTTATAAGTTTCATACAATATGTGCAAGGTTAGAATAATTTAACTTTACCTTAGGACAAATGTTAAAATATTTTTAGGATAAGATTGCGCATAGTTTCAGGACTTAATAGGAGTCAGACCTATAAAAATAGAAACAGTGATGGCAAATGTTTATAATAAGAACATGTATATATATAAAAATCATAATGCTATATTGAAATGTAACACCATTGATTGTAATTATTTAAAATTTAAGTTTACTTTATGTGTGACAGGGAAAAAAATATTAACATTCAACTATAGATTTGGCTTGAAGTGTCGAATGAACAATTTTTAAAGATAGTATGAGCATCTTGAAAATTATTTTTTTTACCTTTTAGGAATTAGCCTTTAACATGTTGTAGTTTGGATAAGATAAATATAATATAGTATGTGTTTGTTAGATAATAAGATATCTGTGATGTTTATTTCTGTTCAGTCTTAACTTGTATCTATATATAGACCAAGTAATCAGGATTTGTACAGTCTGTATCTATTTATAGATCTGGTAAAAAGGGTTTTGATATAACTGTGTTTGTACAGTCTTAATCTGTGTCTATATATAGATCTGGTAAAAAGGGTTTTGATATAACTGTGTTTGTACAGTCTTAATCTGTGTCTATATATAGATCTGGTAAAAGGGGTTTTGATATAACTGTAAACTTAATAGATCAGGTAATAAGGATTGGTTATTTAACTCAGTGTTAAAGAGTTCAAAGAGTAATAATTGAGTATGGTCAAACTGCACAGATGTGCAGGCTGGTCTGAATCTTATCGGTGGAAAAGGGTTTACTGTATATATTTAACTGTTACTTGTTTGTCAATAAGAAATCTGTGATATTTGTCAATTTATTTGTAAATGTCTATGGCTGTTACCCAAAGTTTATTGTTAATTAGATCATTATTTTTAAAAAAAAAGTATTTTTTTACATACACATGTACATGTATTTACATATATATATTTATAAATTAATCTTATGCTGTGTAATGAGATACAGTCTATCTTCTAAGTATAGTTTAAAGTTTATTAGTAGTTTTTTACAAAATTAAATTGGTCAGGTGTGGCGCGACCAATTATTTTTGTTAATTTGTATTATTAAACATTAACCTATTTAATGATCAACATTATTTTTCAACCAAAAACAAAGCATTTCTCGTTAGACTGGTTAGACGACTGATTAAGTAAATACAATTTAATTGTTACTGTACATATCAACCAAAGTTAGAAGCAGAAATTTGAAAAATGGACAAAAAATAATGTTGTTTATTAATGAAGATTAGCCACTTTTAGATAATGAGATAAAGTAAAGGTGCATCACTTTCAGATAATGAGATAAGGTAAAGGTGCACTTTTTTCAGATAATGAGATAAGGTAAAGGTGCACTCCTTTCAGATAATGAGATAGTCTAGTGGATTCTAGTAACAACAGTAATATTTAATTGTTTTAAGTCTGTCATTTTGTAACATTCTTGCTGAAGCATTATTATTATAGAAAAATGTAGAGGGTTGACCACATTTTCACTATATGTTAATATACATATATATATGTAATAACATTAATTAGAAATAATGTAATGTGAATTATTGTTAGAATATTTTCTGTTTTTATTCTTCATATATTATCAAACCTCTATGGAACTATTTATACAAAGTATGTATTTCATCTCACTATGTTTTGATATAGTTTCAACTGTTGTTTTGGGTTTTATATAAAAAAAAAACCTGTATAGACTTACAACAAAGTTATTTTATTATGATTTAGGAAATCATCTGATAATAAATGACTGTGATAGATATATGTTGATATTGAGTTATTAATAAATCAATCGCCATGTTACATAATTATAGTAATTAAAATTTCATTTCTTAAGTATTTCTATTTGTTTATTTTAATTACATTGTGTGTTTTTATAGTTAGTGTTTTTCAACAATGTTTTTTTTTGTGTTCTCACTTAGGTGGAGCTTATAGTTGTATACTGTGTCAGAAATGAACAGGCAATGTGGTTAAACTATTTCAGATATAAACGGGCAATGTGGTTACACTTTTTCAGATATGAACGGGCAATGTGGTTACACTTTTTCAGATATGAACGGGCAATGTGGTTACACTATTTCAGATATAAACGGGCAATGTGGTTACACTTTTTCAGATATGAACGGGCAATGTGGTTACACTATTTCAAATATGAACAGGCAATTAGGTAACACTATTTCAGATATGAACATGCACTGTGATTAAACAATTTCGGATATGAACGGTAACTGTGATTAAACTATTTCGGATATGAACGGGGACTGTGATTACACTATTTCAGATATGAACGGGCACTGTGGTTACACTATTTCAGATATGAACGGGGACTGTTGTTACACTATTTCAGATTTGAACGGGGACTGTGGTTCAACACTATTTTAGATATGAACGGGGACTGTGATTAAACTATTTCAGATATGAACGGGGACTGTGGTTAAACACTGTTTCAGATATGAACGGGGACTGTGGTTAAACACTATTTCAGATATGAACGGGGACTGTGGTTAAACACTATTTCAGATATGAACGGGGACTGTGGTTAAACACTATTTCAGATATGAACGGGGACTGTGGTTAAACACTATTTCAGATATGAACGGGGACTTTGGTAAAACTATATCAGATATGAACGGGCACTATTTTAACACTATTTCACATGTGAACGGGGACTTTGGTAAAACATTTTTTCAGTTAAAGTGTAAATATTCAGTTGTGAACAAGCACTGTGATAGAACTATTTCAAAAATTAACAAGGATGGTAGTAGAATTATTGACGTTCACCAAGATTGCTATATAGCTTCGCACATAGCTCGTTTATGTGCCCGTACGTTCTCTCAGGCTGAATTTACGTTTATTATAATAAATACGGTACGTCATGTATACCTATTTACGTACTAGGACTATTCACTTTAATAGGTAGAACAGGAAAACTATAGCGCACTTCTTGCCTCCTGCTACCTGTAGATCGGTATATTAACTTGAGGTAAAACATTCGCAGAGTTTTTCATATACAGGACTTGTTGTAAATAGGATTATTTAACACGATCGGAATCATTTAAATTGAACTCTGTTCATTTGAGTAATATATCTTGGATTACACTTTTTACTCTTGAAGAATGTCTCGACAAGTTGATTTAAGAAGATTTGATACAAGTCAACCATGGGGATTTAAAATGCAGGGTGGCTCAGATGTGGGCATGCCTCTGTTTGTCGCTCATGTAAGTACATGTAATATATTTATAGTATACTTTATATAAACTGTTACATATAACTTATAGGAGTTTCAAAAACTTAAGATATTTTCAATATAATTAAAGTACTTTAATGAAAACACATAGATTTGAATTAATGTACTTTCCGTATATTAAAGGAATCTACTTCAAATGTATTTGTTTGCAATAAACTTTTCACAATATCATTGTTTTCCTGATTTTCAAAAGAAAGAATACTAACTAATTTTGCGCAAGTTTCTTCATGTAGCCGTGAACGTTTTTCAATGTAACTTACGTATTACAGATTTATTTACATCGTGTATAAAATACATTCAGGTATTTGGCCGGTAGCTGTTGCAATCATTGGCCCGTTAAGACGAAATAAAAACAAATTTTCATGATCAAATGAACGCATTTAATGTTGGTTTAGAAAGAGAATTTAATTTATTTGAAGATATATCAATAAAATACTTCCACTATTGACGTAGGATGTTATGATATCAAATATCAATTATGATACATTTTTCGGAATTTAGTTTCCATGGTTACTGTATCTTACCTGCATTTTACATTCAGCAATTACACATATAACGGTTATAAATAGAAGGAGGAAATACCGATTTTCCTATTGTATGATAAGCCATGTGGCTTTTGTGTAGAATAATAAGACATAAATTCCATCTTGATAAGTCAGCAATAATAACAGCAGTTGATTGTGATGTCTGATAAACAAATCGATTTGTATTAAATCACGTGACCATTGCCGCGGGAAAAGTAATAGTATTGGTTCCTTCTTTTTCTATAATTATTCCGTCTTTTATTATGTTAAATACGTTCATCCGTGAAAAATATACAGTGCTAACATTTGCCAAAAGAAAGAAAAAGCGACTATCAAAACAATGACACAAAATGTAAGTCCTTACAAGAGTCAGTATGACTTTAGTATAATATCTTTTACACATTTATCTCATTTGACAGGTTTCCCCGAACAGTATTGCTGGACAATCTGGGTTGAAGGCCGGGGACGCTATATTACAGATAGGTGGTACTGATACAATGGGGTTTACACATGAGCAGGCACGGGGAGAAATGCTCCGATGTGGTAATGATGTGAACCTAACTGTACAAAGGTTTGTCTTCATATTTTTCACAATGCTTTTTTTTATGTAATTATGCTTTTTACAGTGCTTACAATTAAATCAAGTTTTAGCATTAACGTTCTATTGTTTTCTTTCCCATATATTTTAAACTATTCTTTTCATATAATACTTTCTTGTCGTCATATTTTATTCACATATTTTATAATCTCAAAACACTTGTGGCTGTATCTACATATGTGATAAATATAGAGTATTTATTTAGAGTCCTAATGTGAAATTCGTTTATCAAAGAAACAAGAAGACATGAGGGTTAAGCAGCACAGTCAATTGATCCCACATCATTTACTAAAATTATAACACCAGGAATGTTTATGTCAAGTAAAATTCATATACCTGTAACTTGAAAGAAAAGGTTTTCTCAGATTTTAAAATCAAATATACTTGCAATTTACAGTGGTCTTATAAACCCGCCAGCAGGTTCTGTGGTAGAGGAAGATCGTCCCCGTATGTCGGTTAGTGATAGTGATAGTCCATATCAAGACGTTACATCAAAAACATTTCAAATGTTAGAGAACGAACTACCAAATGCTGAACAATCAGGTAAATACCAATTAATAGTTATGTCATACGTTATTATTATCATATGCTATAAAGATAACATATATGTTATGTCATATGTTATTATTATCATATGCTATAAGATAACATATGTGTTTGTGGGTCAATATTGTATATTACTTTATTCATCACATTGTATCTGTTTTTGTATCAATACCAAGAAAATAACCATCATAAAAATTGAAATGATTCTTAAATCTTATTGTTGTTATTTACAAATATTCTATGTCATAAGAATTTTTTATTACTTTACAACAATGCAAGAAATAATGTCACCGCTATTATAACATCTATTGTTACATAATGTAACATCTATTGTAATACATAATGTAACATCTATTGTAATACATAATGTAACATCTATTGTAATACATAATGTAACATCTATTGTAACACATAATGTAACATCTATTGTAATACATAATGTAACATCTATTGTAACACATAATGTAACATCTATTGTAATACATAATGTAACATCTATTGTAATACATAATGTAACATCTATGGTAACACATAATGTAACATCTATTGTAACACATAATGTAACATCTATTGTAACACATAATGTAACATCTATGGTAACACATAATGTAACATCTATTGTAACACATAATGTAACATCTATGGTAACACATAATGTAACATCTATGGTAACACATAATGTAACATCTATTGTAACACATAATGTAACATCTATTGTAACACATAATGTAACATCTATTGTAATACATAATGTAACATCTATTGTAACACATAATGTAACATCTATGGTAACACATAATGTAACATCTATTGTAACAAATAATGTAACATCTATTGTAACACATAATGTAACATCTATGGTAACACATAATGTAACATCTATTGTAACACATAATGTAACATCTATGGTAACACATAATGTAACATCTATTGTAACACATAATGTAACATCTATTGTAACACATAATGTAACATCTATGGTAACACATAATGTAACATCTATTGTTAAACATACATGTATTTTAACACACAATGTAACATCTATATTGTTAACATATTTTAACACATAATGTAACATTTATTGTAATACATATTTTAACACATAATGTGACACATAATGTGAAATCTATTGTAATACATATTTTAACACATAATGTAACACACATTATGTCATATATTTTAACACATATTTCAGGAGCTAGACCGGCGTCTATATTTGATAAGAAGAGACAAAACAGGACAGCGTACACTAAAACTGACAAGTCTGGCTACACGAAACCATTTGGTGCTAAATAAACATCCACTGATTATCAAATATTTGACGCTTTATATGTTATAATTATCATGAAGTACTGCTGAAGTCACCGAGGAATACTCGTTCTTGGTGGAAATAGTGGTGTCACTCAGAGAAAAGTTTCGTGAAAAAATGTTCTTTCAAGTTGCTTTCAATGTCATCCATCCACGGTAGCTCGTAAGAATTCGGAAACGGTCACTGTCAGTTTTTATCATTGTAAGAATGTCGAAAAGTTTATAATCATTTTTGATACATCTGATAAAAATAAAAGTAACGATGTTTGCCGGATTTTCACGAGATAATGATGGTTGCTGTACCTAATGTCAATTTTGTATCCTTTCAAATTCTTCTGTGCCATATAACGCAACGTTCTTTTTCAACGAAAATGACTCGGGACAGTGTAACGATTTCACTATAATTTCTGCAAGAAGTCAGTCTTACACTTGGCAGGCAATGGTACGTCAATATATCGACGCATGATATGTGTATATATACGACAACGTTAATTCACTGTTCTGATATGTAATACACAGAGAAACGATCTCTTAAACATTCTAAGTAACTTTTTAATGGTATTCAAACATTTCTACTGATGACAACGTACGCTTGTCAAAATATAACTCTAGCTATATAACTTAATAATGTCATTTTATTTTGCTTTTATCTTTCCATTTGTTTTCATAACTTAAGTCTTTTTGTATATATCAATTTCATAACACATTGTTAAACTCTGTCGAATATGTCATAATTGTTTGTTGAATAAAGTTTTATTTATTTGTTCATTGTAAAGTTTTGTTCATTACTGGCAATACATTGTAATATGTGAGTACTTTCCCTAATAACATTGACGATAGATCTAACAGGCAAAAGTAGTTTCAATTCAGATTAGAGGATTGTCTTGTCTTTATAGCTGAAATATTTTTTTAATGTATCAAAGCATCAAACTGACCATTCAGTATTCCATGGTGATACAATTCATGTATAGATATATTCAATTTACCTAAGGAAATTACTTCAAACAGAAAATATCACCAGTAAGTTCTTGTAGAATGTTTTGACGGCTTCGGATCAAATTAAAGAAACAACTTGATATAGAATTTGATAACAATGAGACGAGGGTTCTCTAGGTATTTCTGTAGTATAATGATATTGCTGAAGTACTATGCATAACCATTACATTAAACTCGGTCTACGATGATGTTACAATTATTATTACGCATATTTGTTATAGCTTGCCTCTATCACAATTATAAGTGATTCTAGTTGCTTCTCTCTCAAAATCTTCGGTCCGTTTTCCGCCAGGAACTTTGGAATTCTTGATATATAAAATCCAAACACCTAGATCACGTAAGGTCAGTAGTTATACTCAAGTATTCCTGTCCGAACGGGTAAGAACTAAATCAAAGCACAGAAGGCGCTGAATTTGTTTGGGTCTCAGAATGTCAGAAAGGTGGAGGTTGTGAGATTATAAAACAATTTGTTTTTGTATAGTGCCACCAATGCTTTCCAGCGTTTTAATTGTCGTAGATTGGCTATAAGACTAATTGCAACACTGATATTCGATCCAATGTTTATTTGACTTAAACAATTTGAAAAAAAATGAGTTGCCTTAACTGGTATTTGAACTCCAGACCTCTCGCTTCCTAAGCGACTTCCTAAGCGAGAGCGCAAACCCCTCGGCCACGGTGGATTTACATGTTAATGGCTTGATCACATCCGTGTTATTTGTGCCGTGTGGCGGCTGTAAAAAGTCTCCCCGTACATGTAATCAATGATGTTATATTTCCGATCCTTGAAGATCGTTCAGCACGACATTATTGTTGTGCTTGTGGTATTTTTAGTTTTTGGCATTTTCTAGTTGGGTGGTTCCAATATTCCTACTTGAATAATGTTTAATCACCCTTAGGATATGTTGCCTGCTTTTTAAATTTGTCTTTTGACGTCTTATCTGTGATACGCAGGCTTCATAACCTCCGATCCCCTTTCAAAATTCCATTTTATTTAGTTCCGCTCATTGTTTCCTCGTTTAGGGCACACGCTTTTTATTACTTGGGGACCATACGCCGCTTTTCATGGAATGACACGAAAGTGTCACATTCAAGGTTCCATGTAAACAGCCGTATGAACGCATCTGCAGATGTTTCTTTATTCAAAATTTCACCATTTTCATGTTTAAATGTTGAATTCTGCTTAAGCCGGTGCTAGGGGGCGTGGACGGTAACTTGCACTTTCCAGTACCGTCCATGAACAGGCTCAATCAAACCGAGCCTGCAACATTTTCAATTGTGCCGTGTTGGGCTTTCTTTAGGGATTCTGTATTTATCTATTCGAAGAAAACCATATTATTCTAGTTAGGGTTTGTAACGACGCTAACTGTTGTTTAACACTTGTGTAAATAATCATGGCGCTTACTATAAGCATGTATATATATAAAGAATAAAACAATATTAGAAATCTTCGACCATTCGGGGATTATTTTGCTTGAAAATTAATCCACCTGTCATGTGACCATATTTACGCAGTGATCTCCCCTAAATTATTCAGCCTAAGTGTTACATATAAAGGGAAGTAACCGCTTTAAAAAAGCGGACTACTTTCGGCACTTGCAATTAACAGCATTTGAGTCTAAAATTCGCTACCATTATTTGTTTGGTCTGACGACCCAAACAAATAAAAACGGAAGTGGACACAGGATCGCTTACACTTTTACACTATTGATGTAAGTAAAACAATTAAGTAGAACCGAAATACGCCCAAATCTTCCTCAGAAACAAATCAACTAAACTTTTGAAACAGTTGCTATATTTGTTATTTGTAATGTTGAAAGGAGACTAATACTAATTGTCTCCGGGATGATTATTGGTTATCGGTGAGGTGTTCTGAATGCAATAGAAATAATCGGCATAGCAGTCTTGGCACATGTTTTCTCTCTGCCCATTTCTTGTCTACTTCATTATAAGGGTTATTGTAGCCAATTTCCTGTACACAGTCGACAACTTTTATAAGAAATAAATGTTTGACCTGTTCCAATGTTAACATTGTTTTTTAATATTCTATTTGAAATTCCCGAATAATGATATCGCATGATATATTGCTGATAAAAAATTTTCTATTGTGAAATGGCGTCTACAATATTAAACTCGGAAATATCTTTGCGGGAACATTTAGTTCACATTTCCATTGTAGATACAAGCATACACATGTACATTTCAACATATTATTTATATTTATCAATATGTTAAAACAAAGGCAGTGGAAATGAGATCTATGTCATAAAATGTCGATATGGTTTGTCTATATACCTTGCTAAATATGTATGTACAAAAGTACTGGAAAAAAAACGAAAATGAAGTACTAAAACATATTAAAAAACACATTCGGGCCTCTTTGAAGATTCCACATAAAATATAATAATCTTGGTATGCTTTGAGCTATCATAATATTGTCTCGGCACTAACATACAAAGTGAGTTATATATCTTGCACTCACAGCACTTCCCTGAGAAACTTTACTCATGAGGTAGACTTTCTTGTTTTGACAAGGATCTGAAATGAAATTGTTTGTACTTTGCACGACGCTCCTCTTTAATCACCTCAAAACGTTCACATGTCTTTACATATTCTCGAATCTGTTGCTCCTCGTCATCAGGTGTTATTTCACAATCATCAAGTATGACAATAACAGAGTTATCTAACGATTCTAAATCATTCACAATACATTGGAGCACGTTTGCTGACATCGATGAATGCCAGATGTGTATACGCATAAGAACGTTCATTCCAGAGAGCTTCAAAATGTTTCCGCCAATCTTAATGTTTCTAAGTCTCAAATAGATTAGATTAACAAACTGTGGCACTGCAGTAATTAAACTTCTAGTGTCTGATTCAGAAGCTGCAAAGTCACATTCAAATCGTTTGAGACTAGACGCAGATTTTTCAAGACAGGTAAGCATTGAGCCTAAAGAACCTTTTATAGTTAGCCATTCTACTACACAAATGTCTAACTTCTCCGTATTTACTGATATATTAGTTGCAAGAAGTTTGTCAAGAAACAATATTCGAGGTTTAGCTTTTGGGCATATCTGTATTCCGTATCCTTTACAAGTTGTACCATGTTCGGAACATTCAATTTTGTTTAAATTTAGGTCCTTCAAACTTTCATTTTGAGAAATGTATGTCATCAAATCTAAGATTTGCATGTGGGACATTTTCAAACTCATAAGCGACAATCCACTGATTTGATTCATAGTTTGAAATGCTGGAAAACACTTTCCAGTGAAATCTTGATTCCATAGCTCTAATATGTGCAGAGAATGTTTAGAATTTGCCAACACAGAGTTCACAGTAGAAGATTCTACATTTCCCCATACAAACAACTTGTCTAGAGATTGTACTGACTCTATCCTCATACTTGACAAAATGCCATTTATTTGTTCTTCGTTAACATTTTGGTGAACATGTATATAGAGTGACTTTATAGTATCTTTATTACAAGCAACCAGCTTAGACATTGCTGTCATAGACTTTCTCTCTGCACATTTTTTGTCAATGAAAATATCATCAAGACAAACGTCCGCGTCTTCATTCGTGTCTTCATTCGGATAATTGCCGTCAATTTCCTGAACACATGACAACATTAAATCGGAAAGTTCATGCATTTTATTGTAGTCCTTTATAAAAATTGTTCCAATATTTCTTCTGTACCTTGAAGTCAATTCTTCCTGTGATACTACAGTAATAAATTCTTGTGAAAGTGTCTTTGCCACGCCCGGAGTAAAGCCACTCAGAAACACCAAAAACATATCCATGCGTAAAATATCATCGATATTATTGAACTTTTTTAGGATTTTCGGTAGCATAGCTTTTGGCAAATCGGTCTTTGACGAAATGAAGAGTGCCGCTAACAATTCATGAAACATTTTGTGCAGAAAGGAATAATTAAGCCCCTCCATTGCCAGATAACCGGTTTCCTTCGATTGTAGTAGAATTCCAGTTTCTATACATAACGTAAACTCCTTGTCTGTAAGATATATAGCAACAATACTCCGATCAAATACCAGAGTGTTTTTGTCTCCGAACATTGTTTCAAAAGCTAACTTTGAAAGTGAATACAACATGCGATGATATTTTTGACAGATTGGGGCAGCTGAAAAGCTTTTCGGTAATTTTTTGTTTGAGCGTTTGCCTTTTGAATGTGGTATATTTTTAAATTGCTCATCGAAGTTTGGTCTTTTCTGTGCATGCTTAAATAATAATTCTAGCAAATTGCTAAAAATTTGGCATTTAGACTCTCCAGGGTCATTTCCGTCATACCACAGGCACAAAAACTGCATCAAAATTAAGGGACACTGTATGAAGTTTCTAACTCCCTTTGAGTCGAGCATTTCCTCAAAGCTTTCTGAGGACTTGTTCTGTCCAGATCGATCATTTAAGTGGTTTATGACATTTTTTGTCAATAAGAAAGCAGCATCATTATCAAGTCCCATCATTTCAACATGTTGATCAACTTGTACAGCTTCTCCTGTGATTTCATGAAACTTCCAACGCCTTGAAGTTGTAAGATATGTTACCTGCTTTCTAAATTTACGATGCGGGATTTTTGATCGGAAATCTTTACAGCGTTTCTTCTTTTTTGTTGGATGACTCCATTCGTCAAGTCCATCGATGATAATCAAGCACTCCTCTGAGGAAAGCAAATGATTTATGATTTGTTTGTACTCGGGTTCTCTTGATAATTTACTAATGAGTTGACTGTAGATTATCTCATCAATATCACACTCTTTCGAAAGACATGCTCGTAGTGATAAATGAAATAAAAAACTAAACCTCTTCATAGCAATCGTGTTTTCTATTTCAAAACACTCTCGAGAGCTTGCTTCTGGACTCCATGCCTGGCACCATGCCAAAGTCATTCGTTTTGAAAAACATGTTTTCCCACTCCCGGCGCGAGATGTCACATAAATATTCTTACAAATCTTATTGTCCTTGAAAAAAATATTATCATACGATTTCACAGGCCGAGTAAACTTAGATTCTTCATTTCTATATGGCTGTTTTTCTACGTCAATGTTATACATTGCTGAGGTGACGTAAAAATGAAGCAGTGGTGCCTTATTGGTGTCAATCATTGGCGATATAGGTAGATATTTATGCTCCTCTTTATAAAAGTCAATCAGATCATTTCGAAATTCTGAAATTAGAAAAGTAATATTAAATGTAATCATCTTAAAGGCATAATAAAAATCTAATTTGTAAAATGAGTGTTAATTAGAACTGATTTCTATGAATATTGTAAATCTGAATGTTTGCAAACCCAGCAAGTAAGAGGAAGATGGCATCAATTACGATACAAACATGTTTTTATAAATAACTTGTTATAATATTGTTGAATACCTTGTATGACTTCGCTTCTAGGTTTGACGAGCAGAACATGATCGTCTTGTTTAGTATGTTCTTCCCTTTCAAATGATCGTTTGATTTGGGAAGCAGTTCTGTGAAGTTTCCTTTGCTCCCTGTTACCTGTCCTCATTATGATAGTATTGAGCTGTGTTGCCTTCTCTGTCAGTTCTAAAACAGCGATCATCTTAGAATCTATGATTGCAGCTAAGGAGTCCGCAGTTACATTTTCAGCGGCTTCTTTATACCGATCATACAGTTCCTTCAGTAGAGTTAGTGACTGATCCTTCTGCTCGTAGACATTTTGCAAAGCAGCCGATTCCCTCTCTTTGATAGCCTCGGTTAGAACCTTGCTAATTTCCGTTGAGCTTATGTCGAATGTGTTTGTTTTCAACTGAAAAAGCAAAAAACATGCAAAATGAGATTTGACATAACTATAATTCATGTTTATCTAAATTACACTTTATATTTTGGTTAGATTCAGAGTATTTAAAGGTTCAGTAAAAAATAGGCCGATAAAATTTAGATGTTATTCCTACCCACATTTTGTTAAGTATATGTCCTGAATATAATCATACTGATTAATACATAACCTGTTTTAAAGTCTCAACAGCGGCTGTTGATATTCCATTTAGATATTTCGGGTCTTCTAAAAGACCAATCAGTGAATCTAGGTTGTCCACCAGTTCCCGATCCTCCAAAGATAAATTAGCCGAATGCCTGAAGTCATTGTTGATTTGACGTATCTTGAATAAAAGCAAATGAATTAGAACATGAATTACAAAAACATTTCAAAGCATCACATGAATAAACTTCAAGAAATCAGTGGACCCATTAGACGCATTGACAAGATCAAACTATTACATTGTTAATTAACATTGTTAGTTACCTTCTTTATTTGTGATTGTTGGATGGACAGCTTGTTTTGAAATCGCTGGTTATTGATAAGTACACTTATGATTCCATGGAAATCTATATCACAAAATAGGGCAACAGCGTCGTATCCTTTTTCTGGCATAAAACATTTGACAACTTCGATCTCAGATGTACACCATTTTGTAGCATCAGTGTTCCTCCATGCCGGTTCACTTCTATGATCTGACTCTATGCGACGTTTGAATTGATCACAAATGCCATTAGGACAAATACGATATGCACTAGATAGACCAGAGTGATATCGACATCTAGAAACATCTCTATTACAAATACCACTCGTCGGACATTCTAACAGGTTTGAAGTTCTGCACATGTGACATTCAGACACTACAGGCTGGTTATTTAGCACTTGTTTAGTAAATTCTTTTGTATCTTCACATACAAATTTGCACAGTACATCTCTTGCAAATAAATACCCGAGTCCTAATTTTATGTGATTATGAAATAACTTTGAGGAAAGTTTTTGCTATGCCATTTCTCATCTTCTAACTTTTGCATTCGTCAACAATAGGTCGTACCGTTTTTTCTCTGGAAAGAAAAACAGATGCATTTGCAATATAAAGTCTTAATTTGGAAATTATTTAAGGTGGTTCTGCACTGTCAGTCATGTTTGATTTTTACTAAGCGAATCCAAAGCAAAAGTAGGTCAGAATTCGTATAGAGACTAAGTAATAAGCAATTTGCAATAAAACTCCCAAGTTCATGCTTTAAGGACCGGTTTAAATAAAAACACGTAACAGTAAGAATATTTACATTGAATACTAAATGTGTAAATGCCAAGTAAAATCTTTTGTAAAGTGTTATGCACATTTCATGAAAGGCGAAATCCAGTGTAAAGTATGCTGCACTGCAGTGAAATGCTATTTTTGCAACGTTCATAAAAAACTTGCAAAATCTTAATTCCAAATAAAACAGAAAAACATGTCCGTCGAAGTTCATGTCCTTCATCATTCTGTGTAAAAAAGTAGTGCCAGGATAAAGAACGTATATTTCTCTGGTACTACTTCCTTAAACACAACATTAGGCCATGTTTTTCAAGGTCACATAAACTTGTTTACTTATATGTAAGTTTTGCATGTTCTTTTCGGTTGTTTTTTTTCCTTCAAAATAATAGCTTTTAACTGCACTGCAAAAGACTTTAATTAAACTGGATTTTGTCCTTCATAAAAATGTGCATATCACATAAATTGGAAAAGATTTTGTTGGTCTTTAGAAATTTAGTACATTCAAGGTAAATATTCCTATTGTTATAATTTTTGTTGTAAATATATTAGTCCTTAAAACATAGACTTTGATGTATTATTGCAAATTGTTTATTATCTTACATTGTGAGTTTTGTCTTTAAATGAAAATTGTCCTTCTTTCATTTTGGACCCAAACATGGCCGACAATGCAGAAAATTTCCTGTATCATAAAATAAAATCCCACGTATGGTCTTTTTTAGTACATTTTGTGTATGTTGAGCTTCACTTGATCTATATTACTTATCAAAAAAAATCGGCTATTACCTACTACCTTATTGGCAATAGATTACATGTATGATTGAATAGTAGATATATATGTATATAATAAAGAAACAATTAGTAGCTCAAACTTTCTTCAAGCTTCAGTGATCATGAATGGTTATCATATATCATAAACATGTTCATGTTTAAACATGCTAGTTTTTATGTGATCTGCTTTGTATAAACGTACACACTTTTAAAGTTCTATAAAGGCAAACGTTACTGCTATTTTATTTTACCCTACCGTTAATTTGAAATATATAACCACAATCCATTTTTATGGATGGACGTTCATTAACGGTTTTAAACAGCTGTAAATGTGTTATTCAAAAAAACATTTTTATAAGGAACAAGATATGAATAAAACATTAATATACATGTACAATAATTCTTGAGATCCCTCGAGATATTGGAAACAAAATAAATTAGGTAAACTCAAGAGTTCAATTTGATTGATAATGAAAATTTCATCCTCTCACAAGCAGTCTGGCATTGGCTGTATACAGTATTCAATCTGCACAACTTTTTATATATGTTTGTGGTATCAATAAGCCTGAATGACCTTAAATGATAAAACAATCAGGCGAAAACGTTCCATAAATATCACTGTCATTGTTTGCTGTCGGTGTGTTAACCGATCTTAGAATTTCTAGATTCATTAAAAAATGAAAACGGTTAAATGAGAGTTAAAATGTTATAAGAAAATTGAAATCATGAGCTTTATACAGTAACGACGAGACAGGTTATGTTTCATTGAAGGCACGTACAATACAATGTATATTTAAAATGAAGATAAATTTTCACATTGAATATGCATGGTATCATATAGAGCAGATAAGAATGAACTGGTATATTTACAGATACAAGCGATGACGACTTTAAATATATGAGACATTTTCTGATTTATCAAAATTAAAGTAGTTTCTCTTTTAGGAGATAAATTATTACCAATGAAATAAAACAGCAAGAATTTAACTTTACTTTCGTCTGCAATATTTCAACCTCAAAAGAGTGACTTCATACACCAATATTCAGCCTATATCTATACATATATATAGTAGACGTTATGATTGATTGACTTTAGTCTAATGAGCTAAATTTAGTCTAATTAGCAAAGACCTTTAGTTTTAGTCTTATTAGCAAAAACCTTTAGTCTAATCAGCTAAAACGAAACCTTTTTTCAACTAAGGAAATTTGATGCTTTTTCAACTAAATACATTTTAATATTTGCAGTCAAGGCGAACATACATGGTTCAATAGTTATATATACATGTATATATATAAATGCTACAATCATAAATCATAAACTAAATAAAACTATACATTGACTAAATAAAAGTATGAAACAATTAATTATCTCACCTATGAACATGCCTGATTGAAAAAAAAAACACACAAGTTTCATAACTTCCTTAATATTTAACGTTACGCCATTTTCTTTACAGCTAGATATACATGTAGCAAAAACCTGCGCGTATGAAGAGGTACGAAAACACACCGTATGCCACAAACGGTTATAGATACTTAACTAGGTTATTCAATAGGGACTTTTGCTAGATACAAAAAGTGTATACGATTTTGAGATGTAGTTAATATAACCATGTAATGCATAACGGATTTGCTTTATTTATCTTTTGCATTTTCTGTAGATAAGAGACGCACTAAAACAATTAACATATATAAAAAACTTCATGTAGTTTAACAGAATTATGTTACAATTTGATTACTTCACTTCTCTACGTCTTTTAAGATATTACAGACCATTTTATCGAATCAACACTGTCTGAATATAAAATAATGTGACTGAACGTAGCATCATGTGAAGTGACTAAATGTACTATATTGTGACTTTTATAGTGATATATAACTAAATGTTTTATATTGGGACTTAATATAGTATAATGTGACTAAATGTAGCATATTACGACTAAAAAAAAGCATAATGCGAATTATGTAGTACACATGTTTTGTGACTTCATACAGTATGATGTGACTGAATGTAGTATTATGTGACTAAATGTAGTATAATGTGACTAAATGTAGCATAATGTGACTAAATGTAGTATAATGTGACTTAATGTAGTATAATGTGACTAAATGTAGTATAATGTGACTAAATGTAGTATAATGTGACTAAATGTAGTATAATGTGACTTCATACAGTATAATGTGACTGAATGTAGCATAATGTGACTAAATGTAGTATAATGTGACTAAATGTAGTATAATGTGACTAAATGTAGTATAATGTGACTAAATGTAGTATAATGTGACTAAATGTAGCATAATGTGACTAAATGTAGTATAATGTGACTTCATACAGTATAATGTGACTGAATGTAGCATAATGTGACTAAATGTAGCATAATGTGACTAAATGTAGTATAATGTGACAAATGTAGCATAATGTGGTAGAAATGTAC